GGCTCTCTACTCCCTACATATAGCACCTGGTAGGAATTGAAATACTGACTCTTGCACCCCAACAATGCAAAATTTAACTAAAAATGGTCATTTGGGATTCATCCACATTCATACTGGACAAGCAGTGCACTATTTGACAGCAGAAGCTAGAATTTCTAAACTTAATGTTACACAGCACACTTTTTAACTAGGGAGTACAGAGCCGTTTGGGATTCAGCCTGGGTTTAATGCTGCTTCTGACTGAAACACGGACATTTGACGTGTGTAAGACATTCAGGTGACGTTCTTTAGAGTTTTATACTGACATTTTTCAGTGAATCATATCGTGAGTACTTGAATTCAAGCCTGTGCTATTAATGTTGGAGTTGTTTAGCATGTTTGCTATCTTTTAGCTTGCTGGCTAGCTGACCAGCCTAGTTCTAGTACAGAAAATAAGTTTTCAGCCCCTCAGTTTAAACAAAAATGGGTTCTTACTTTATCAGTCCACTCAGTGCTCCATGTGATCAGCATTAGAGTCAAAGATCAATCCATTAACAGCAGAGGGGTTTTTCATGTCGTGGCGCAGTAATACAGAGTTTAGTTGTTGTGAGGCGGTCATAGCCGTGGTATATTTTACAACGGCTTCGCATGCGGCTCAGCCAATCAGATGTCAGAACCGGATCTATCCGTTTTATAATGGTTATTTAGTCACTTAAACTCAGTATCAGTAATGGACACATAATTTCAATGGTCCACTGTAGATGCTCACTCTATCCTTAACTAACATTGAAATAAGTTTCTTTTAAACACAACTGAACTTGTATTAAATCTATCCCTAATCCTAAACCTAACACTAACCCTAACCTCAAGGCAAAACCTACACGTAATCCTAAACCTAACCCTAACCTTAATGTTGTTAATAATCAACTAAGTATCACCAGAAAGTTTGTTATTAATTTAAGTATCTGCAGATCATCTTTAGGGGATAATCCAAATAAAGTGTGACCCACAGTATTCATATCGGTCAGAGATAATGCTACACAAAATAAAGGTTTTCTGTAGAACTTTATGATCTTTAATAACCTTTATTGGTAATACTACTGAAGGGCAGCAATCACAAGACAACATGACACCTACACTAGCCTCATAACAATGGATTTAAATCTACATAAACATTTATATTCCAACAAGCATCAGTGACCTTAAGGGCTGTTTTTGGCAATTGTGATGTCATTTCCACCTCAGCAAGTATTTTGATAATTGACCCTTGTTGGGGACCCAATGACAGCTGGGATAGGCTCCAGCACCCCACCGCGACCCAGAAGGATAAGCGGTTTAGATGATGGATGGATGGACCCTTGTTGGAATGTCCCTTTTCTCTAAAGTGACATAGCTTGACAAAGCCAACTTGCTGCTCTTTATTTAATTATTCTTGCAGTTCTTAAGCTAGAACCACAACACTTTGCAGGATTGTTGTTTATTAAATAGAGATGATGTGAAGATGACGAAGAGGTCTCCGCTGACACCGTCTCACTTGTATAAGTTTATTATAAAGTAAAACAGTATCATATCAAGCACCATAAAGTACCTGAGAGAGGATCCATGCCAATTCTAATGTGTCCCCTTCCGAGCAGTATAGCCTGCTGCTTATATAGGCTGGTTGCTTTCGACAAAGGGAGCAGAACATATGGTCCTTCTTAAAATAGTCTCATTCTTCTGGAAATAAAAGAGGAAGGGAACCTTGACTCTTGGACCTGTGGACCAGGGGCCCCCTAACTTAAACATTCCAAACCTATGAAGTCAGATAACACATGGAGCTCGGATACTACAGGATCGTACAGCTTATACAGGAACATGAACTGAATGGCAGAATATTGAGAAAATTCTAATCTAACTTCCAACATCGTAACAATACTATAGCCATGGCCTACCAACAAATTAGCAATCACCTTGGAGTGACCTAGTCTTCATTGGACTGTTTTCCCAAAATTATACCAAAGGGAAGCTTGTCCAGTATTAGAAATACTAACAAAAAAGAAAATGGAAAGTTTTCCAGGAAGGAAATGCAATGTACCTAGGAAATGACTTACACTGCAATTGTTGAAGGCTACAAGTAAAGCAACAACTAGAAGTCACTATTCATACACCAGTCATGGTAAAGACAGTATATAGTCCAGCACTACTGTTAAACTCCCAGATGAAACAAAGCCATCACCTCACAATCAAAACTTATTTGAAATGAACCGTTTGTTCCCTCTTGCAAATCATCAGGCATCAACAGAACCAGAATGAACATCCTTCTTTTAATTTTCAGTGGAACTTCTGAGCTGCTTTTTTATGAGGTTAAGGGAGAAATAAACAGATAATAAAATGAACAAATTTGTTAGCTCTGCTCATAATAATCTCCCCATGCTCTTCTCTGTGGTCTGTGCAAGTGCCTAATTAATCATGTACTGATTTGCTGGATGGATGTAGCCGGCAATATACCGTATGCAATCTAAATCAATTCAAGCACAAACAGAGAAAGAGAGAGAAAAACATGCCGTTCAAAGAAATGGAAACTGTTTACTGAGTTCTGGGTAAAGGATATTAGTATGAAAACATGAATATTTTCAAGAGCCATATGCCAATAGCAATTTAATAGCATGATGCAGTCCCTTACAAGATTAAAGTCAGGAGATAAACAAACAGGCTGCTTTCTCTTGATGAGATTGGGGATAAAATGGAGAACATTAGCTCTCTATGTATAATGAACATCCCCAAACAAACAACAGCAGTTAGCTTATGAAAATCAGATGTGTTTGAGCTCCAAACCAACTGGGCATGCAGTACCAATCAAACATTTGGACATCTGATTGGATGGGTATTTTATAATCTTATGAATGTTTCCAACTAAAGGCTTATGCTTAAATGCTTGAATTCTGTTTCTAAGACCAACACAAATAATGACTTGGCTTGATGCATATATAAGGACTTCTCTCAAATTTCTCCAAAAAATTCAATTTGAAAACATTTGAAAATGCTTTCCAACAAGTGTAGTTTTGAGCAGCCATAAAGTGGTCATATGAATCTTAGTCAAGCCTGTCAGGAAAGCTTCTCTGGTGGCCTCTCATGAAGCTTCATGAGAGAATGGTAAGACTGAGAAGAACCTAAAATAGAAGATACAGTCTAAACTTTAGTTAAGATCCTTTTCGGGTTCTGTTCAAAGTTCCAGTAGCATCTACACACTTAAAAAAGATGGTTCTTCAGGGGTTCTTTAGTAAAAAGCAATGGTTTTATTTACAACCATGCTTTTAATAAAGAACCATTTAATGCTTAAATGTTTTTTTGCATGGTGAAATGCTTCAGATTGATGATCTGACAATGTGTTGCGTATGGTTCTATATAGAACCTTTTAGAAAATAGCTTTATATAGCAATAAAAAAGGCTATTAGAATAGTAGAAAAAACCTTTTTGGTGCTATATACAACCAATTTCAAAAAGGTTCCACAGAACCGCAAACAACTTAATCTCCCACAATTGGAAGAACCATTTCAACAGTGTAGTGAATTTTATATTTGTGGTCGGATCAAAGAAAAGCCTTCTTTCTGACACACCTTCCAGGTGGTTTGCTGGCATCTAATTGTATTTTAGGAGTGTTGGTGATCCCAAAGTGTTACCATCTTCTGCAAACCTTTAATCATTATCCTTGAAGATGTTTTTGCGTCTCTAATTATCTTTTTCACTGTGAGGGTGAAATAAACAGGCAGGTTCACTGCAGCTCCAGCTGTTTTAACTTCTTAATTATTGCACTAACAGTGGATTTGGGTATTTTCAGGCAAAGCAATGTTTTTTTATAGGCAATACCTGACTCAAAAAGATCAAAAGATCAGTCTGATTTCATTACTCTCTTAAAAAATATGGTGCTTCAAGAGTTCTTTAGTAAAGAAAATGGTTCTGTGTAGAACCATTAACACTCAAAAACCCTTTGCATGATTAAAGAGTTCTTTACATTATGAAAGGGTTCATTAGTACCAATGTATGCACATATTTATTCAGTACTGTCATTATATGCTGTTACCTGCACCTCCTTGTTTATTCAGTAATACAGTATTACTTTTTTTTTATCTCAGGATAGATCTTATTGCATATTTTTATTTATTTTATATTTCTAGTTGTATATATGCCTGTAGATATATATATATATATATATATATTTATATATATATATATATATATTTTTGTTTATATTCTTCTTTTTTATATTGTATCACCTTTATTACTATTATAACTCTCCTGTATTGTTTGACTGCTACTGGCTGCTATCTATCTATGTATCTATCTATCTATCTATCTATCTATCTATCTATCTATTACATTGATGGAGAATGTGCTTTACATGGTTCTACATACCACCCCAAAAGGGTTCTTCTATTGCTACAATGTCAACCCTTTCGGTGCTATATAGAACCCTTTTCAAAAAGGTTCTAGCAGGCTCTGTACATTTTCCATCAATCTAAAGAACCCTTTCACAAAGCAAAGAACCCTATAATCATGCAAAGGGTACTTTGTTCTATGTAGGACTATTTTCTTTACCAAAGAACCCTTGAAGCACCATTTTAAGTGTGTAGTGGATTCTCTAATGATGGCTTAAGTGTTACAGAACAGTGGAAGTGAAAATATAAATTAATATTTCTTTAAAAAATCACTAGTTTTAAAAAACAGTTCTTAAAAAACTCACTTCAGTTAAAGGTTAGATTCCTTTAATATTTTCATTGTGAGATTCAGCTAATTAAAGCTAAAGACATTTTTCCACGACCTTTCGGTGCTCTCTTTACTGTAGGTACCAATTATACCTTCGTTTTACTTTTTACTGTTTTCCTTTTTTGGCCACTGCATAGCCGCATGTGTTATTTCACATTTTTCATTCCTTCACTTTTATTATCCAGTGTGGAAAATAGGCAAAATAAAGCAAACCCATCAATGAATAGGCATCCAAGCTACTGTGGCCCAATAGAGTAAACAGTAGATCCATCTCTTACCTTTCCTACATATTGTGCTTCGGGTCCAATGTGCTCCTCCAAAACAAAGAATTGATTCCACACCCAGCCCCTCTTTGGCCGGTGGTGGGAGTCCTTCTCACCCTCTGGGAGGTGTTTGGTCAGGTTGTGGGTGCGCGTTGTCCGCACAGAACCCTCGGCAGTTTTGGTTTGGTTGTGAGTACGCAGGCTCAGGATGGGGCCGGCCGGAGACGGGGTCCCGAGACCCCTGCGGAGAGCGAAGAGACACAGCAGCAGCAGAGAGCTCAGGCAGGCTGCACCGCCACCGGCCGCTCTCATGTTAATGAGTGACCCGCAGGCCTCCCAACCGCAGGCGCCTCCAAACGCAGGTCAGGCCCAGCCGCCCAGCTCAGAACACTGCAAGTTCATGCTGTAAATCCAGCTTCCTGGAGAAAGCAGGAGAAGAGTATTCACATCCTGGAGCAACCGTGCAGGGGGGAGGGGCTGTGATGGCTCATTTGAAAGAGGGCTTCCACCAGGGGCTCACCAAAGGCAGTGGAAAACAGCTATAAAACATCTGTGAGAGGAGAGAGAGAGAGGACAGGGAACTGTTTACTCCTGGAACAAACTGAAACATATCCAACCCTTTAATGCTTAGACTTATTATTCACTTTTTCATCTTTGTCTAATCTATCAGTCTCATGTTCTCTTCGCTATAACACACTTCTTATTTATAAGCTAATTATTAAAATTCCATAAAAAATGACAGAAAAAGTCATTTTTTCTCGAATGTCAATTCTTTCACTCTTCTAACAGAAAACTCTACATGCTAATTATATAGTAATCCCATATAAATGTATAGCTTTATCTCTAAAAGAGGAAGCCAAATGATTTCTGTGAAATAAAAATAAAATACATATCTATAACTCGTATGTTTTTGTTTAATATTATTGATTAGGACTATAGAAGCTGAACTATAGCCTAATGTATCAGATGGATGAAAATAATTAGATGATGATCCACCAATCACATTTTTATTTTCAATGAGTGGGAATAGTTTTGCAAGAAAAAGCAATGGTCTAGGCCACCCGGGAAGTCCCAAATGTCATTAACTGTGAGAGGCTTGACCAGTGTATTTCAGTTAGTTGTTAGGAATGGAAAACAGCAGCAGTTCTATGGAAGGGCTCATTACTGAAGAAGTCACTTTAAAAGTGCGACAAGGTAAAATATTTGTCAATAGAACTGTTACAAGCTTCAAATGAATCATAAAATGTCTATTTCTAGCTTTACATCTCTGTGTTATTTGGAAATGTTTTTCAATTGAGCATAATCAAAATTTTACTTTCGTTTAAAAAAAAAAAAAAGTATAATTACTTCTTTACCTGCTATTGCTATGGCTCAAACAAGCTGATGCTCTCAATGCACCTTTACTGAGTGTCATCAAACCTTAACCAAAATATTTATGTAAGATTAGATTTTTAGGTCTTGGAAACCTATGATAACATGGTGTAATTGTTTTAGGGTTTTGGTCAATTACAGTTACAATTACAATTATAAAGTATTTGCATGAGACAGTCACACATGCCATATGTTGTTATTTCCAGTAGACCATGGGCTACTCAGATATGTAAATATTTGACATGTGAATGTTTATAGAATTTTGATATCTTTATGAATTTGGCTAATTTTTGAAATAAAAATTGAAAAAAAATACTGCAAATTTTGTACATTTTTGCTTATACAGATCTTGAAAACAAGTGTCACCTCAGATACCTTTTCAGATTATTATTATTATTTATTTATTTTTTTTCTAGAGTGCCTGTGAGCTGAAAATGCTAAAATTTTGATGGTGGTTCATTCTGTTGCTTATTATTAAGTAAAAAATGAATAAGCATAAGGCAGCCATGTATTTATTGATTTTCTGTCCTCCTGGATTTATGCTGAGTGTTAAACCTCTAATACACAGCAAGACAGGCTTTATTTTTAATTACAAGTTGTGTTGTGTGTAAAAAGTGGCTCATCAGATCAACCTACCTTTCTGTATGCAAGGGACAAGGCCAAATCCAGTATTTGGGCCCTCAGGCAGCACTGCATTAAAAACAGACATGATTCTGTAGTGGAAATCACTGCATGAGCTCAGAAACACTGCTGAAAAACACTGGCTATGAACACAGTTCATCGCTGCACCATTAATTCTGAATGATATGTACATGTTATGGCAACATACGTTGCGATTCCAGATGACATCTTTTTCAGGGAAGGCCTTGATTATTTCAGCAAGACAATGTCAAACCACATTCTGCATGTATTACAACAGCATTGCTCCACATTAAAAGAGTCGGTGTGCTTAAACTGGCCTGTCTGCAGTCCAGACCTGTCACTCACTGGAAACATTTGGTGCATTATGAAATGAAAAATATGACAAATGAGACCCCGAACTGTTGGGCAGCTAAAATCCTATATCAAGTAAGAATCAAGTTCTTTTCACTTTCAAAACTACAGTAATTGGTCTCAATGGTCAGCATTTGGGCCTCAGTTCCCAAATGCTAACAGTGTTGTTAAAAGAAGAGCTGATGAAACACAGTGGTAAACATGCCCCCGTCCCAACTTTTTTGAAACAAGGTGTTGGCATCAAATTTAAAATGGGCATATATTTTTCCCAAAACAATAACATTTCTCAGTTTCAGCATTTGAAATGTTGTCTTTGTAGTATTTTCCTTTAAATATGTGGTTTACATGATTTGCATGTCATTGCATCCTATTTGTATTTACATTCTGCACAGCGTCCCAACTTTTTTGGAAATGGGGATTGTAGTTAATTTACTTGTTACCACACGAACCAATTTTTTTAAGTAGTTCTGATGAGCCGCTATTTACGCTGTATGAGTGTTCTGATGAATCATGTTTTAAACCTTTTGTTATATTATGGAGGCTTAAAGCAGAGAGCTAATATAATGGTAGTGAGTGGATTTTGGGTGATTTTGGAGCTGGATTTCTGGCTGATGGCTGCTCACAGATGGATGATATCATGCTATTTAGTGAGGGTAGGTAGGGTCTGCTGAGTGCTGTGATGTGTAAACTATTTTGCTGTTCCAACCTTTGTTGGAATATGAAGGCTAAAAGTGCCAAGTTCATACTTTTTTGTGTGGTTTTTCAAGCCAGATTACTCAGCGTACAATTGTGTAGACTGGTAGCCTTGTCTTTTATACTGAAGTAGTCCACAATATGTCCAGTGGACAATTGGGCACACATGGATGAAACACAAATGACCCTTTGTTAGACATATTATGTACTGTTTGGGTGCTGCAGGCATCGCATAGGACCCATATAATGCACTACATAGGGTGTAGGGAGCCATTTGAGATTCAGCCTGTGATCCTGCTTGGCTGCTGCAAGCTATGGACAATGGTTTAACAACCCAGCTTGAATCCTTTAATATTACATGGAAGAATAACCCATAGAAAGATATTCTTTACATTGTATGGAATATCTTTATTGTAAGGACTATATGTAACCAGTGGGTGTTTTATAGTGGGGGGGACATGAAATTGTGCAGCACAGTGTATCAACAGTGATGAGACTGGAGAACAGTGACAGATTACTCAGCATTAGTGTACAGCAACATCAGAGTAACGTGATCCATTTTGAAGTTATGGAGCTGTCCTGCGCAATCACGAATCATTTGGAGGATCATCTCAAATGCCACTTTATTTATTGAATCAATTCAGCGACCCATTACAACAAGACTTTCGCACGCTCTGAGAAAAGGAAACGTCATTCCAAAGGCTGTGAACACATTAAAGCTTCACTGCTGAGATCTGTTTTTATGCTCAGATTCGATCTCTCTAACACGGTGGTTCACATTTGTGTAGGTAAAGTGACTCAAACCTGTTAATGTGAACAGACACGGGGCCTGAAACGATCAATAACGCCACATGAATCAACCATGTGCGTCAAACTAACCGAGCAGAACAGGCCTTCGTGGGAAGATAATTTGCTGTGAATAGCTCGCAGCTGTTCATTATTAGAGCAAGATGGTAAAAAAGGGTCAGATATCTTACTTTTTTCACTCTTTCCTGGCTTCAGGTTAGGCACTGCTGTGACAATAACGCTGAATGATGCACATAAAAAAAAAAAAGTAAACTGAGCGTTCTCATTAAGGTCTCATGGCCACTACTTTGATACATACCTGACCTAGACGTATGAAAGTGGCTCAGGTCAGATTTGAAATATTCCTCAACAATATCTGACTCGCATTTTTGCACATTTTACTTTAACACTGTTAGCCACTAGAATACTGTGTCTGGGTCATTCCAAAGAAACGTCCACTTGTCTATCTCTCCATAGGTGTCACTGGTGTTACCTATCCTCATTGGTGTTACACATAAGAAAGGGAACACCAGAGATATTTTTGATAAAAAATGCGTTTCACAAAACGGCTGCTACAGAGCATCAAACCACATGTTGTCAATCATGGAATATCCACTAAAATATGGAATTTAATCCATTTGAATTCTATTTTTTCACAATTACCTAAGAATAAAGTCGGTCACACCAGTGACGTCAACTAAAAGCTTCATATGAAATCATGAGCTTAATGAGAAAATGTCTGATAACTGAAAGACACAGTGGACGATATGATGATATGCTTTTTTCATAAATCCTCAGAAAATAGGTAGAAAGAAGTCAAGTGATGATTATTTCAAAATAAGAGATTTTTTGATATCTGGTAACACCAGTGACATTATTCCATAGTCGTGTATAGACTATTGTAGTTAAAATTGCAGAAAAATGTTTTTCTTTTTTTTTTTTCTTCAAAATATGGCCTCACCCTTTACACATGGCTTCTGTGGTGCTTGGAATTCTAGATGATTGATTTAAAAACCAATATTGCTAAATTGAGGCTGAAGAAGGTATGATTGTTAAAATAACTTATTGTTTTATTTTAAAATATAAATAAATTGTACCCCAATATGTTTTTGAAGTGTAATATATCTGTAAACACTAGGGACACAAAAATGGACGTTTCTGTAGAATGACCCTTCAACCGAATGCTGTATTCCATTGCTGTTCTGGTTGCTACCTCAGTGACCGCTATGCTCATATATGCTAGGCTATCTGCTAATCTGCTAATTTGTCATAGTATGTTACATCCTCCTTTGCACAACTCCACCTACTCTCAGTACTGTGTACTGCCTGTGTTCTGTTTTGTATTTATTGTATTTTTTTTTCATATTTATTAATGGTACTGTGTTGTCTGTGTATATTATATTGTTTTTCACTTGCGTTCCTGTGTTGGTCCTGGAGGAATGCTGTTTCATATAACTGTGTACTTGTTT